ATAATGTTTGTGAAATTGAAGTTGATTGAAGAATTTGCACTTAAAGTTTATTATCTGATGTGTTAAAGTGCTTGGGAAGGTTAGTCACTATTCCTAAATTTATCCTACCTGTCCTTAAGCCAACATTACAACCATAAAAATTCCTAATTGATTTTAGATCGAGCAAGCCTACATTAGTAGATGTTTACATAATGGGCAAGCCTATGGTACTTTGTGCATGCATGTGACTTTTTTGTGAGAGTGAGGTATTTCTTTGATATATGAGAATCCTTAAAATATGTTTGAACATTTGATTCGAATGTGTGGATTCAATTTACTCTATTGTTCTTGTTGTGAGGGCACATGATTTTGCAAGGGATAAGTGATGTTATTAGATTTCTCTATGATGTTAAATGTTCAAGCCATGAATGCATTGTGATATTGAGTCAGTTTGTGAGGTTAGGATTGCTAGAAATATGCTGTCCTTTTGTTGAATCAAGATTTGAAGTATGGCATAAAGTTAAGGGAAATGTGTGTCGAAGGCATATGCTAAAAGCTTAATTGTTGCTATCAACTATAGTCATAGGTATGGTGTACTTTGGATGTGCTAAAGAAAATAAAAGTACTCTAGGAATTAGTGGTTGACTCGAGGACGAGCAATGTTTAAGTGTGGGGTGGTGCTGTGATGCCAAAATGCTATACTTTTAGCACATTACTCGCCTTATATTTTATTGGTCTAATGAGTTATTGTGCGCTATTTGAGCTAAATTGTATGATTTTATGTGTAGGAATATCGGAAGGAATCATCAAATAAAAATTGCACAAAAAGAGGACAAAAATACAAGAAAAGAGCACAAAAGCATCAAGTATCTAAACTGTGCTATAGACCAGGCTTAGCAAGGTTTAGACCGCGTTGCAGAGCTCGCCTAGCAAGGTTTATACCGCGCTACAGAGCTCACCCAGCAAGGTTTAGACCGTGCTACAGAGCTCGCCCAATGAGGTTTAGACCGCGCTATAGACCAGGCTTAGCAAGGTTTAGACCGTGCTACAGAGCTCGCCCAATGAGGTTTAGACCGCGCTATAGACCAGGCTTCGCGATATCTATAGCACGGTAATTAAAAGTCACGGGTTAAAAGACCCAAACCTAAAATTGGACCAGGGGATTGACATAAATACTCCCAAATGAGTTATTCTAGGGTTGGACATGATTTTGGAGAAGAAATAGGCTGCCAAGCACTGTGGAGCAAGAATCAAACGAGTTTTCCCTTCCTTTATCTCTTTACTTTGTAGTTTCATGTCTTTAAACATTATGTTGATTCTTGTTGTATTTATGAGTAGCTAAACTCTCTTATTTAAGGTTTGATGGAACCTATTGGAGGATAATTCTTTACTGCGTTTAATATAGATTTGTCTTTAATTTTTCTCTACTTGTTCAACTATATTTTCATTATTGTTAGTTGAAGAGGTCTCAATTAACTGTGCCTATTTATTGTGTATATTGCTCGAGAGAGAGTGCACATTTAGGTAGTTGTTGAATAACATCACTTCTAACGTAGTTGAGAGATCGATACAGAGGGTTTAAAGGCGGGATTAGAGATAACGAAGCCTTGGTGCGATCGTCGTGAGCGGTAAATTAGTATCAGCTAGAGTAGTTCGAGAGAATGCGTCTAGTAACTTGTAGTAGTTACTCGAGAGAGAGCTACGACACTCAAAGTGCTCACGATCGGTAGAAAATATTTAAGTGAATTTATAGGAAACGTAGGGGGAAGATTCCGACAATAGGGGAAATCCTAGCCTCTTTTTCAAATTTTGTCTACAATATTTGCTTTGTTAGTTATAAATTACTGTATTTTTAATTACTTTGATCTTAGTTAGTAAGTTCTCAAATTGTTATATAATATTTCTGAAAGTTGATTATTTGAATTCGTGCAAAACTATTAGTTGTAATTCACACGTTATTTTTCTATGGGATTCGACTCCGGACATGTAAATCGGATTATATTTGCAATGACCGGTTAGTCCTTATTATAAGGCATAATTGTGCATGATCGCTAAAAAAAAAATTCAATTCAATACTAGAAATGACGATAGTGTTGGATAATTATTTTAGTTTTACACTGGTTTATAATGAAAATGCATAACTTAGTTTATCTTTTTTTTTTAGTGCTTAGTTATGTAATTAATATTAGTACTTATTAGCTATACATATTTTAGCATGACCTATATAGTATTTTTAGATTATGTTAATTTTTATTATGGCTTATTAATTAGCCATATTTATTTTATGTAATTTTATTATTTTATCTTTGTTATTGAATATTTTAGTATAATACTATGACTTATCTCATATTATTGTATTAGTTTCTTGGAAAACACATTATATAGTTGTATTTTACTAGGACTTAAGAAATATTTGGAGCACAAGTTACATATTTTATACGATGAAGACTTTACCGAAAAAAAATCCGAAAATCCGAAAACCCCCGAAATACCCGAGAAAAACTGAGATTGAAAAACCCATCTTTGTTGGTTTGGTTTGGTTTATAAATTTAAAACCCGACACCATTGGTTTGGTTTGATAATTGAAAAATTCGAACCAACCCGACCTATATACACCCTAGTTGCAAGTCTCATGAATGAATTCTTCTTCGTACTTGCTTTGTATATATGGTGATATCTACTTGTGGATAGAACAAAAAAAAGCTTTTTTGTTTTTGCTAAATTAAGGCAAAAATTCTGAACAAGAAGTGGGGTATGTATTATTATTTTTGTTTGCGATGTGAGGTAAAGCTAGCATAAACAAGTTGATGTGGCAACTTTCTATGACAGCAAATATATTACTCTCTTATCTTTTTTGCAAGTTTTTCAGTCATTATCTATGTGAAGCCAATAAAGAATTATAGTCAATTAAAATAATGAAGAGTCATAGCACGGACAGTGTTACCTAAAAAATGAAGAGTTGTAAAAGCAATGAAAAATTTGAATAAAAGAAAATAATGAAAAAATCATAACATGGAGTCATCTTGCAACACAAGTATAGTATAATATTTGCAGTTTCCATTGTGGCAATCACAGAATTGTGTCCTCCATTAAATGAGCATATACTGCTAGGCATGAGACAGACAGTTTGCAAGGCTTTCACACAAGTTTTGTAATTTGAAGCTGTCATTGTTAATACTATGGTTGCAAAATCTTGTAATAATTATGTAATATTGTAAATCTGAAAGACTAGTAATTCCTGCTTTGGCATTATACACTAATTTGAACATTACCAAATTCTTACGTATATTCAATGTTGAATTTTCTTGGTTTCTTTGCATGTTTATTTTTTTATATTTTGAATTTTCTTAGTAAAAATTCTGACTTTGCTACCGACAACAAGTAAGCTACAAGGTTACCTCGATCTATGCAAGGTTCAAATCTTGACAAGCCTTTTCCTCTTCATCCTTCCTCTTTCTCTTATTCAGAATCCTTCCTCCAAAAAGATTTAAAAATAGAATTATAGCACTCGTGCTCATTAAACTTCCAACTCTATTAAAAGACTACAATATTGTCAACATAATGTAGTACTCAATATTAGTGTAGCCTGTATTTCCACCATTCGATACCTAACGTGCACGCAAAATTTGATTCACTAACTCCCGAGTTCTTAATATTTAAAAGAACAAAAAGTCAAAAAAGATAATATTCCTCAAATTACAGTCTTTTTGACTAGCTACAACTAGAGTTGATCAATGCTGATATTTAAACAATTGTTGAACATCAACTCCTTCCCCGATTTTAAATACATAAAAGGTGGTGAAACGAGGATTCATATCGCCGACCCAACTTGCTTGGACTGAGACGTAAATGTTATTGTTGGTAGGTACGCGCACACAAATACATTACATTTCCAGAGTTAGAATACTGTTTTGAGTTGGGAAAACTCCATAAGCAAGGAAAGAAAAGGAGGGAATAAGCAGAACAAAGGGCATAAAAATAGAAGAAAATAGAAAACAGAAAAACAAGAAAACAAATGAGAAAGAAAGGGAAAGGGACACTGACTTTCACATGGAGGATTAGATTAAGAGGGCCACCATTTCATTTTATTTTATTTTATTTAGTGGTCCACCGAAGAAAATATATTGACCAATCTAATCTCTTCAACCTCAGGACAAACTATAAATAATATCACGAGAGTCCCATGTTTTTAGGTCGGAAGTAGTATTTTTCTTTATTATCATCTTGAGCACTTTTTACTCAATTTTGACCCTTGTATTGTTCCTAAAATCCTCAGTTTTATTGTTGGGAAAATGGGAGGCCTGCTTGGAAATTTTGTCATGTTATGCAACCACAGTTGCTCAATATTCATAATTTTTGAACAAAAACCTTGTGTAGTGCCTAAGTTCTGGTTAGCAGAAATACCCGATACTAGTGCTAGTGAGAATGTAACAAGCAAAGACGCAGTGGCGGAGCCAGAAATTTCTTCAAGGGGTGTCAGAGACGGGAACTATGCAATAGGTAGAGGGGTCGCCAACACCCGTAAAGTTCGGCAAAAATTCCATATATACATGTATATGTCTTTAGAAAATAGTGATATATTAATAGTGGACACTCTACATACAAAGTAGATTTTGGTTTAATCAAAAAGTGCACTCGCGACCTTTAAATCTTGGGTCCACCTCTGATAACATAACTATTGAAATAGTTGAGTTGCGTGCCCTACATACATCACTGCTATAAAAGAATATCAGAACTTATGTAAAGCAGTGGTCCAAATTGGAAACATGGGATGAGCAAGCAAAGCAAGTAATACCAAATGCAAACACCCAAACAAGAAGTGGCTAGCCTTACAAATATAAACCATCTTAGCTGTCATGAATAGCTTGAAATAGAATTCCACATCAATATAATGTTGACAATTACCAGAGAATTTGATGACTGAGTGAAAAAGAAAAATTCATACACCAATAATATAGCTACTTAAAATAAGATATGGAGCAACTTTGTAATGTGATAAACAGCACTTCAATACATACTCATTCACAACTGAAACATTTAAACATAGATTGACAAAATATGTATCCAGAAAGCACAAAGATCATGCATTCCTACAAAGTTGCTTGGTAATTTCAAACTATACAAAGTTATCGATAAATGACGAGGGGTAATTTCAAAGAGGAACTACCTTCAGTCTGAAGTACAAGCGCCATAGCTAAAATATTCAAAACTAGAAACATTTGTCTAATCATTTCATGCTTATAATCTAATCCTTATGATCATGATTTTGCTTGGTCAAGTTGATTGGAAATTCATCAAAGTGTTCCGAAAAGCAATGTTCTTTCACCATGCTCTTCAATGACTGGTACACTGTGTACATAGATGGTCTATCTTTCGGCCTTGAAACCACACAAGAACAAGCAATTTGAAGAATTCGCAAGATTTCATCGTCCTGACCTCTTCCAACAAAAGATTTGTCAATCACATCCCTACTTCGACCTGAGCTCGAGAGTTGATTAACCCAATCAACTAGGCTACCTTTAAATCCTTCGTCAGCATTACCCGCGCCAAGAGGTTTTCGTCCGGTCACCAACTCTAACATCACGACTCCAAAACTGTAAACATCCCCTTTCATCGACGCAACCAACGTGCTTGAATATTCAGGAGCCACATAACCAAACTCTCCTAAATCCCCATTGACGAATGAACTATCATTCGAGTCACTAGAACCAACGAGGCTCGCAAGCCCAAAATCCGTGATCCTAGCATCAAGATCATCGTCTACTAGAATCACATTTGAGCTAAGGTATTGGTGCAAATAGGGCGGTTGGCACCCGTGATGAAACCAAGCAAGTCCTCTAGCTGCACCAGCAGCAATCCTAAGCCTAGCTGGCCAACTAAGCTCACAATTACTACTCCTAACCCCAGTACTAAGATTACCATGCAAAAGTGAATACAAACTCCCATTTTGCATATGCTTATACACCAAAAGCCTTTCACTATCAACAACACAGAAACCCAATAAAGGCACTAAATTTGGATGCCTAAGCTGTCCTAATCGATTCATCTCGGACCTAAACTGTTTTTCAGTACTCACTTTACAACTACTCAACCTTTTAATAGCCAATGCAGATCCATCAGGCAACATAGCTCTATAAGAAATACCAGTCCTAGTTGAAATAACAATATTATCACTATCAAAAGAATTAGTAGCTGCTAATAAATCATTCAACTTAATCTTGTTAATAGGTTTTTGAAACAATGTCACCTGAACAAGCTTAAAAGCTCTCAACTTTTCAACCCAATCACTGCTATTATTACTGCCTTTACCATCAATAAGTTCTCTATTTTTCTTCTTACTAGGCTGAACCAAAAACCACCACCAAATCCCAAATCCAAGAATCAAAGATCCTGCAGCACCTACAATACCAGCAGCTATAATAATTACAAGATTCTTGTTACTCAAATTACTGCATTTAGATCCAAGTGGTTTCCCACAAAGCCCATTATTCCCTTCAAAATCATCCTTCAAGAACCGGTCTAAATCATCAGGAACCGGACCGGTAAGACCATTGTTTGACACACTGAACCGTTTCAGCCGGTCGAGCAGGCCAATCTCAAAAGGAATCGAACCAGTAAGCTTATTGTCATTTAGCAAAAGGGTGTTCAAGAATTTGCAGTTGATAAACTCAGGAGGTATAGAACCGGAGAAAGAGTTGCCTGAAAGGTCAAGATTAACAAGATAAGGCAACCAAGAACAGAGTTGAACCGGGAGTGAACCGGAGAGGGAGTTACCAGAGAGATCAAGGGATTGAAGAGAGGTACAATACTGAAGGGAAGGTGGGAGTGAACCGGAGAGAGACATAGAAGGGAGCTGAAGAGAAATGAGCCGGTTTTCTTTCTCATTCCAGCAAGAAACACCAACAAGTTTGCAAATTGAGGCAGCAACAGAAGTGTTTGAAAAAGACCAAGATGAGAGCTTATTGAGTGGGTCAGAAAGTGCAGATTTGATTCCTTCAAGACATTTGATATCATTTTCAATGGAGAAAGATGGGGTTGAAGTGAAAGTAAGGAGGAGAAGAGTGAAGAAGAAAATGGGACTGGTTGTTTCTGTTGTCATTGCTAAGTGTGGGGAGGAGTGAGGGAAAAGAAGGGGAGGAGCTAACTGCTAAGTGCTAAGACAAGAAGGAAAATGGTGTGGGGAAAAAGGCTGTCATTTGACTGAGGTTTGACATGACTAAAGACTGAGAATTCGGACCTTTGGTGTGAGAAAAAGACAGTGGAGTAAGAAGTATGTTAATTAATTGATTTAAAGATATACTACTATATGTTACTAATTAAATTTATATTATAATATTACTTAGTTAGTAAGAGATACACTCATACTTTTATTGTTTTAGTTCATTCCTAGCATGTAATAGGCATTTTTCATTAGATGACCTAAAGTAGATATTTGTTATAAAATAAAGATCGTAAAGTAAAGACAAGCATAGAGAAACTGATATATTATTCAAATTTCAAACTTATGTACATAATGAATTGACCTCTATTTATAGAAGAAAGGAAGCTGTTGTGTAAGCTGCTACTCTAAGTTGCTGTGTAAGCTATTACTGTACCAGATATAGATAATCTTCTACCATGGGTAATATTTATCCATAACGGAGTACCGAAATGATAAGCTTCTTCAGGAAGCTTATTTCCAATAGAGTACTAAATAGATAAACATATTTACGGCGGAGTTTCATATGGACAAGCTTCTTTAGGAAGCTTATTTACAACGGAGTACTAAATAAACATCCATAATATAGTATATTTATAACACTCCCCCTTGGATATTCATTAAAAGATAATGTGCCTCATTAAAACCCTACTAAGAAAAAACCCTGTGGAAACAAATCCTAGTGAAGGAAAAAGAGTACACATATTTAGTAATACGCATTGCTAGCTGCCTCATTAAAAACCTTATAAGGAAAACCCTGTGGGAAAAAAATCTTAGTAAGAAAAAAAGAGTACATCGCGTATTTTACTCCCCCTGATGAAAACCTTGTTTCAAATATTTGAGTCTCCGCATTCCAATCTTGTATACCATCTTCTCAAAAGTTGAAGTTGGTAAAGATTTAGTAAATAAATTTGCCGGATTATCACTTGAACAGATTTGTTGTACATCAATGTCACCATTTTTCTGATGATCGTGTGTGTAGAATAATTTTGGTGAAATGTGCTTCGTTCTATCTCTTTTTATAAATCCTCCCTTTAATTAAGCTATGCATGCAGCATTGTCTTCGTATAAAATTGTGGATCTTTTCTCACATTCCAAACCACATTTTTCTCGAATAAAATGAATTATTGATCTCAACCATACGCATT